AGGGGGAGAAGGGGGGGGAAAAAAGGGGGCCCCCCCAAAAAAAAAGGGGGGGGGGGGGGGGGGGTGGAGTATGGTTTGAGGGTTTTGGTCCTTCAATTCGTACCGAGTTCCCTACACCGCCTCATGCTACTGCTGCCGCGGCGTACCATTGTCCTTGCACGGCATCGATCACTTTCGCAAATACGCAACTTTGTACACAGTTTGGAGCAAAGGGTCGTTTGGGTTTTTGCTTTGAGCCGCCTTCTCCACGTACACACCACGCCCACACGACACACACGCCCACACGGACAGCACAAGCATGCCTCCGACTTCCACCACCGGACGATGAAAAAATCCGAGTCGCCTGGAAAAACGGGTGGCATCTACTGCCGTAACTCCCTTACGACGGAGATACACCTGCTTGTATCAACGTACCCACAGACCCAGCAGGGTCACAGGGCACCAGCTCAGCCAGCCAACCCCGATTGTTGGGGTGTCAGCCCACCACGTGGTCGTCCGTTCAACTTGCAACACCCAAAAGCCGCGCGCATCGCTTCAAGATTGGGACCTATTCTTCACGACAACACCAACACCTTAGACCCTAACCCTAAGAGTAGGATCTGTTCTTCACGCCAACACCAACGCGTCAGACCCGACCCTAACACACCCTGCCCTTAGATACAGTCGCATCCCCGTTCTTTATGCATGGGACACTCACAATTTTTCGTCCAACAACGTTTCTCTAATGCGGAGGACGACTGCCTGTATTAAAAAAACACACCCCCTTGCATCATTTTTACATTCTGCGGGGCACCATGCCTCTGACAAAAATCAGGCCGTACTACTGTACCTGCCGTTGGTGAAGTTCAGCTGGAACTGCAAGCACGAGTCCTCCGCCGTCACCGTCTGCACCTGGTCGCACGAGAGCGCGACCTCTATCGTCCGGCCGAACAGCGAGTCCGAGATAGCCACCGCCTTGTCCGCCGAGTAGGAGTCGATGAAGAGCTCGTGCGATTCGGCCGCGAAAAGCCCCGGGACCGACACCTGTCAAGGATTGACGTTCGTCGTCGTCGTCGTTGTTGTGGTGATTGTTGTTGCTGCCTTTGTTAAGGCTGGAACAATGAAAAACACAATACGAGATGAACGAATGCCGGTAGACTGGCATAACACAACGCTACGATGCTAAAAAAAAAAAAGTCATGCTTATCGGCTGGCCCGTACGGTTTCATGTCGCTGACACCCCGCCACCATCTTCCAACAAACAAATCACCTCTGTAGCGTTCTCTGTGGCGTTCGCATCGGGGAAGGTGACATTGGTCGCGTACGTCACGTTGTTGTCAAGCAGATATCGCCAGGAGTCAACGCTACAGTTGACCTGGTATCGGTCGTAGACGTTCTCGTTCACTGAAAAAATAAAAATGCGAGGCAAGAGGGGAGGGGGGGGAGTGGTGTGTCATGTCAGCCGTGATAGGGGAGGGAGCGGGGGGATGACAACTGTGCCGGATTCCTTTCGGCACAGCTCGAACCGTGAGGCCTTGCTGCTGCATCAACGAGAGCTGCAGGCAAGAGTGCACCGAAGGGTGGCGGGCAATGCAAGAGAAAAGCGAGGAGACGCGTGGTGCACGCGGGGTGTCATGTCATGCCGCAGGAGGCCTCGTGCGCGGCGTTCGATCGCCTTCTCTTCGAGCTCAGCATGAAACCTGGTGCATAGCTCGGTGTCGCTAACATCGGCAACCTTTGAAGTTCAACTCCCGAGAGCATAACTGCTTCATTCCCTGAGCTCGAACGTGTCAGCCATAGGCCGACCAAGACGCCTTTCCCTCCCCCGATAGGGATCGTGTCGCCCCCCCTCGTGAGGTTGAAATGATGGTTTAGGCGTCATGCCGACCGGCCCTCCTCTCGCCGTCCAAAACGATTAGGCGTCGTGTCCACTCTCTGGCGTTCGACTACAAGTATACAATAATAGATCTTGCCGTCGAAAAAGGCTAATGCCAAGGCCCCCTTGCGGTCCTGGATGCTCACGCACGTCTCCGTCCCGACGCCCCTGACCTGACACATCTCTGTGGCGCCCAGCTTGGAGCTCGATGCAGCGTGTATTATGAGAAAGAAATCGAACCTCAATGGGATAACGATCGGGAAGATCATGGGACCACGACTAGCCAACGCCTTCCAAGAAACTATTCGAGCATTCGATTGAGGAAGCAAGATGTCAACCCGTGTGTTCCACGTGCTCCGAACCCAAGTTCGCGCTTTCCACAAATCCGAGTCCCTTGCTTGGGCCGGGTTCTCATCGCAACTGACTTCTTTTTTTCGAACGCCAGGGCGCCGTGAGTGTAACTGCTGTACACATTTCGACTTCACGATGGAGGCATGGCTGAACCCTTCCCGCTACGACATGCATGACGTGTGCAGCAACGGCTGCTGCTCTCAAGCCACAACAATAGTTGTCTCGGTCTTGTTGCGAGACAAATCTGAGCACATACACATTCTCTAACCTGCTGCGGGATACGTCCGAATTGTCGGAAGGGTATAGACTACGTGTACGGGAAAGGTTCAGCAGAGGCATGAAAACGCTCGCATGGGATTTGGGGTGGCATGTCGGCAAGAGGTTGGTGTCGAGTAAAAAGAAGAAAAAACCCCGACAAACTGCGGAACGCAAGACAATCCTTCAGCTCCGAACCGCAAAAGTCATCAGACATTTTTTCTTTTTTTGTTCTTCACTTCAAATCAGCGCTCACAGCACTAGTGCCGTTTATTCCGACCCGTGGTCACACAGAAAAGACCCTCTCTACCGTTCCCTCCTGCGGTACTTTGCCTTCGATTTTTAATGCGAGAAGAGTTCAGCACTCTCTTCCCTCTGTGTACACACGAACTAGCGCTATCCACTCGGCCAGGAGCGGAAGCGAGAGAAAAACTCACTTTGCAAGAAAAGCTCGCCTACGCCGGGATTCGAACCCCTGACCTGACCTCTAGAAAGGTTCGAGGTTACCAACTAGACCACCGGGGCGACCGGCAATACCGCGGGGTGAAGCACTCGACGTCCATGGCATGCAAGGAAGAGGAAGACGCCGGTTGGGCGAGATACATAAAACAACGCGAGCGTGCTTCCTGAAGTACTGTACATGGACGCGACTCAATACCAAGACGTCACATTGCTGCTGCGCTGTCTGCCCCAGTAGTACTACCATGTGGCCTCATTTCCTTGTTTATTCTGACTTCTCGTCGAACCCGTCGGGGCCTTTGCCGCCAAATTTTAGTTTCAGCACGTTGGACGTCCCTGAGATTCTTCTGGATCGCGTTCCAACCCTTGTTCTCAACTCTCAACGTCTATATTCCCTCTGCATGCAACGATGTTGTCGTTTCGGGGGTCAATGGACGCGAATGGTACGCATACAAATACGGAACCTCAACTAATGAATCGAAGCCCGGTCTAAGCGTCCAATCCCTCGACCTTCGCGCCTCCGCCTACTCACGCAGCGGAGGCAACAAACTCCTCCCTTAGACTGCGTCTCCCGCCGTGCGTGTGTGCGTGTATCTCTCCCTGTCGTCTGGACTTCATTCAGCCTTGGATGACCTTTCTGGTATACATTGTAAAAGTTCTGGAAGCACAAGCCGAGGTCACACACAGGGCCCAAGAGGCATCCACACAGGGGGGATTTTACTTCTCTCCGCTTTCCTTCGGCGGTGCTTTTATTTTGTACCCCGAGGGGGTATTCTACGTTTTAGTCGTTGGCTGTTGGCTGTCCCTCGTCCTCGGCCATGATGAAGTTGAATTTTGTTGCGAAGTACAAGTATGAAAAAGCGATGGCCATGTTAGCTGCCTTTCCACATGCGGCAGTAACATATGGTATGTTTTTGTGAGAGGATTCCCAGTTCGTTGTCACTGCCGTGCAGATATTTGAACGCACGTCGCATACGTCACACGAAGGTAACCTATAATAGGGAACCACCCACAACCACTACATACTGCTGTACACGCTGTCGTCGTGATTACGTATGCATACTTTATCGCGGGTCTCTATGCCGACGAAGCAAACACGTCATTTCTTGAAGCCGTATCTTCCTTTCTGATTTGAGGATGCGCGCAAAAACCGCCGTGTGTACCGTATTTCATTTGTGCAAAGCAGGGCCCTTGACGCATCCCCACTACAAGTAAGAGGTTCACCAAACAAAAACAATGCATCGGTGGTTTCAGTGAAAACCAATTGCGGCGCGGAAAAAATCGTTGGCGAGCTTGGGTTGTTCAACCATGTTTTACCCCGCCCTGCCCCTAATACGCCCCGTGAGCGTCGGTTGCATCGTCCGAAGAGGGCCACCCCCCGCGCCGGACAAATAAAGCAGTCGAGGAATTTTTCTCGTTTTTTTCACCCATAGCTTCACACAAGCCGCATCTCCCACCAGATCGGAGATTCAAATCGTTAAAAGGATGAAGCGAGCGGAAACAAACAAATCGCAGCAGAGTGATAAAACAGAAGAAAGACGGAGCATCACCTCCCTTAAAAACAATCGCTCGCCCAGCAATCCGGCAGAGAAGCAGTGGCCTACTGCTTGTAGAGAGACGTTTTCGAACATTTTTTTTGAAATTGCTGGCTGCGGCTGCTGCTGCTGTCGCAAGCAAGTGACGGCCGAACATGGAACAATCAATCGAATAAGTAGTCTTTCTGTGTGTGTATTTATTTTTCCTTTATCAATCGCCTCTTGTGGTCAGACAGCCAACAGCCAACCCTCTCCTCTCACTACGGAAAAATCTGTTCTGTCTTCCAGAAAAAGCGAGAGAGAAAGCGAGCGGTGTGTCGGCGGTGGTATGTGTGTGTGTAGCATCACAAGGGGACTCACCTAGGTACACGATAGGGTTGTAGGGGTTGATGAGCCTGTAGCCGCTGCCCGGGTCCACGTATGGCGCGATCAGCGTGAGAGGTTGCGTGATGTCCAGATGTCCGTCTGTGTTGTTGCACAAGAAACGAAAATAAAAAATTGCCCACGGGAAGAAGCAAAAAAAAAACAAGATAGAATTAATGAATGGGGCAAAGGCGTGTCGGGTGAATGAAGAAGCCGAACCCTACGTTGTTCCTCGCCCATATGCATGGGAGACTGCACAACGGCACGCCGACCATAATGAAGCCTTACTGCATCTGCAACAGCACGCACACGCGTCCTGCGACGGCACGCGGGGGCACGAGGGGAGTCCAACTCCCGAGCCTCCACAGCAGCAGAGTAGGCGTACCAAAGACTCGACAATGTTTGTGTGTGTGTGTGTTTCCAAACTCTGCACGCTGGGGTGATTTCGATCACGCTACTTGCGCGGTCGGACTCACCTAACCTGAACGCGCATTCCGTATCCCCACGCCATGCCTGTGTAGCGACAAGCACCGCCACCTGCGCTGCCCTCCTTCCGGTAAACATCATGCCTGTCTCTCTCAAACACACGGTGTTTTTGTGTGTGTGTGCTCGGATAGGTACGCAACGCCGGTAAGCAGTATGTTGTGCGCTAGCTCGGCTGGTCCTCCTCGTCCTGTCGGGGTTTGAAAAGTTTGGCTGAGAGAGTGGCGCCGTGGGAGGGGGGCACAGAAGACAGCAGAAAATATTAAACATACACCGGATCGACCTGCTGTGATCCGGCCCCCAGAAGCTTCCTTCCGCGTGCATGGGCGTGGGGTGGTTGCTGGTTGCACAAACAGAGCTCTCTCTGATTTTTCTGCTAGTGCGTGAATAGCTGAGAGAACGTTGGACTCTGCCTGTCTGAGAGGTCGTCCGCGCGCGCCATGTCGGCGCTCTCTAGAGGTGAGTTCCTCCTCCCATCGAATACAGTTGCAACACCCCTCTTGAACCACTGTGCGGAACACACACAATCAAGCCCCCTACAGTAGTATCGGTGACTGTCAATTGCAATGATGGCGGTTGGGTGTTCTTGTTCACTGTATGTCCACGGACGCATTCTGACAGCACTTCAGACAGCAGTTGCGCGCCCCGAACTTGTGCCATGCCTACCATGGTGTCATTGTACTGGCAGCACTCCAGACAGCTGTATTTGTACGCTGTAGTCGACAAACATTCATTTTGGCAAAGTGTGGGACAGGGGGGATGATACTGCTGAAGCCGAATGTAGTGTGTGGACGGGTAGTTCAGTTTTGGGCACGCAAACGTGCTGCAGGGATGTAGGTGTTCCTCTTCGGGCTTGTGTGCCTTTTCTTGCTAGTTTGCGTGTTCTTTAGATCTTCTGATGGCTCTAGCATTTTTGTGACCACGGACCGCGTCTTTGCTAGATATTGGGATATTTGTAGCAACTGACACGAGCTTAATGTGCAAACAACAACAACAACAACAACAACAACAACATCGAACAGCTCCGACAGCAGGGACAGCCACAACACGAGGCCTGAGTCTCAATCGATAGCCTAGTGGAGTCTGCAGCAGCACCGGTCCTGTATTGTTGAAAGGGGTCTGTGAGGTTGTGCTGCAATGAGGAATGGCGGTGTGGTTGTTGGTGGTGGGCATCCTCCCGCCGAGTTGTGTTACACCTCACCACGGTGTTGGCGTGCTGTGACGAATGAATATCGGCAGGGCAATTCGCTGGTTGCTATGGCGGCATCTCTGAGGAGTGCATTCGGCGCTGAAGCCCCACTGAGCAGAGAGTAGTGCATCAATGACGGACTTCATGTCTACGTTGTGTAGCTCAAGTCGCGCTCTGCAGCATTTCGTAAATTCGGTATCTTTCTACATGTATGTGTAGTCGGAGAGCTGACGATGAGGGAGTGAATGAATCTCTCAACAAGTCACCTCCGGACCTAAGTACACTTCAAGAATACTTGTGTTGGCCAAGACATCCATATTACGACATATTCTGTGCACTACCATTGTTTATCCTTTCAGGGCGTCTACTAATAGCCCGCTAGATCAAGAAAGGAACAGGGCACTCGAATTCCCTGGTCGCTGTTCCATGTACCATATGCAACAACACCTGTATTCAGGAGTGGAAGAGAACGGAGAACATTTCAGCGCGCGCAGCCCGCAGGTGTACTCGGGGGCATCAACAACCATGTTATATGCAAAGAGGAATCATGTTACAGGAAGAGAAGTGGTGTAGGTTTTGATGGAAACTGCTGTTGGACGAGAGCGCACATCATTCACATGCATGTGCTATGCATTGGTACAGCAGTAGAGCAGGCGGTGCTCGTTCGATCCGCCCCCCTCGAGTGCTCTGGAAGGGTTGTTCTTGAGTTAGCTGCGGCGAACGGTAAAACTTGCCGTCCTCTTTGACCCTCCCTTTGCATACGTATGCATGTGTTGCCCAATACAACGGCTACACAAGCATGCGCTGCAGTTTTTTTGCAAGTGAGAGACCTGATTATGGTGGCAAAGCCTATTCATATCGCATGAACCGGTAGCATGCAGCACCTGTGGAAGCGACATGCCCGAATTGAACACACGCATCCCACCACGTCCTAAACTGCCAACGAAGGGTCCGGGTTCCACGTTCCACATGGTCTATTGGTACGTTCATGGAACTTGTTATTAACCTTATGGTGCGGACGTATCACCCGAAGTAGGAACCTGAAGACCGCGGTTGTCTCCAGCAACGTTGCTTTTGTGTGTTTGGCCAATCAGACCGTAACTCTGGTGTCCTTGTTCCTTTTTCCCTGTTCCCTGTTTTGGGAAGAGAGGTTGGTACATGCCCTCAATTTGTCAAGTGCTGCGGCGAAGTCGAACCACACCGTCTCAAAATGTGTGTACCGGCCCCCTTCCCAAAACTTTGTTGCCATCCTCTGCTGCATTTGCGCAGCAGCAGCGGCAGCAGCACCACCGAGGAGGCTATCGCGCGCCTCTCCGCACGCATGGCAAAGAGGGTTCGCATCGCGCTCGTTGCCATCGCTTCTTGCGCCATCGGACGACGGTCCCCTTTTAGGGCCCGGTGGCCGGCGGCGGCCGCCGCCGTTCTGCCGCACCCCTCGAGCCCCCGACCGCCCATGGCCAGAGGTGCGCCGCTCCGTTTCATCTGCATCCCCCCCGCCTGTTTCTTCGGAGAGAAGAGGGGGAACAACGACGACGACCACGGCGGCGGTGGCACGGGCCATGTCGTCGTACGAGTGGAAGAACATGAGCGCGCAGGCCCAGAAGGCCAACAAGGAATTCGGTGAGCTGTCCAGGGAGGAGATTCGCAAGGCCGGAGAGGAAGAAGTCGACAAGGTCGAGAAGGCCCTCAAGGCCATGGAGCCTTTCAACGATGTCTTTGAGGTAAGGGGAGAACGGGGGCGCACCCGTCCTTTGCAAAACATGCCCTCGGCCTTTCTGTTGCAGTAACTGTATTATCTGGGGGTGTTTTTCCTTTCTCCTTGAATGAGGGAACCGCGGTGGCCCTGGCCAATCGACAGGAAATCTGACAACCATATTACAGTCTAATAGTCTAAGTATGTCTTTATTGGCATGGGCCCCACAATTTGAGGCGAGATCGTTGTCCCGAGATTCTCCCGTTGTGGACGCTGAGTTGAGAGCACCCGTTTTGCCTCACAGGTGCGACGGGAGGGGCTGGAAGTTTTTGCGGAGCTTGGGCCAGAGGTCGGCACGTACTGGATCAAGTTCGACCTCAGCATTTATCAGATTTGCCTCATGTCGCCGAGGTCGGGGCCGCACCGGTACATCTTCGACAAGGGGTCAGGGTGAGCTCCTGGGTTGGGGACGGAGAGAGAACGCGACAGTCGTGCTGGCGTTTTGGGTCTCTTTGCTTCTCTTGTTCGTGCTGTCGTTGGTTGGTGTTGTTATCACCGTCGTCGTTGACGTTGTGCTCCGCCAGAGAACGCTTTTGACCACGGCTACATAGAAGCTGAGAAACACTATGTAGACCGTCGCTCCCAGCACGCTTTTTGTATGCCACACGCCCAACTTGAACTAGCTTGATGCGTTGCTTCTGCCGACATCACTCATCGTTGTCATGTTCCAACTCATCATCCTCCGCTTCTCTCAACTGCCGAAACCGCAGACGGTGGATCGGAGAAGCAGACAAACATGACTTTCAGGGGATGCTCACGGGAGACATAATTCAGTCCGCTTGTGGCATCCCCGACTTCTGAAGACGGCGGGCTGCATGCCGTAGTGTCGGGGGGACAAAACAACGTTGAATGTTGGGCTAGGGGTTGTGTCGATGTGTTCGTGGTGTATGGTTCGTTCGTGCCCCTCGCGCACCGCGGACAATATTGGAATGGACGTGACGGCTGAACTTGTCGTGTTGTCTGTGCCCCCGTCGCCTGAAACCTTGCATTGAACTGAACCTCTCAGACGGTGGATAGGAGAGGCGGACAAGCATGACTTTCAAGGGATGCTGACACGCGATATAATTCAGTCCGCGTGTGGCATTCCCGACTTCTGATTAGCTGATGGCGACGCGCCAAAAACCGTGAATGGCCTGGTGCCGTGTGGTCTAGAAAAGCGCTTGGTCCTCAGGGGTGGTGGGGTTTCGAGGGGGGTAGCATGGCTGTAACGACAAGTGCATTGGGGAGCTCGAACACGCGTATATTTTGCATTGGGATGTTGTTTGTGTTCTTCGTGGTGCTGTCTGCGTGGACAACTACGATACATGCATGTGGTGGTATGATTGTCGTACGACGCGGCGCGAACATTGTGGGCCCCGTAGCGTTCGTTAGAGCCATCCATGCCATCGCAGTGACCCAGGACAAATTCCAACGGACGCTGTCTTGTGTGTTGAACGTGCGATCCAGCGTGCGGAGAGGCTACTATTGATCACGTGCTTTGGAACTGAAGCATGCGTGTAGACGGAGCTCAACCGAGATAATCCACCGTCAAGGTGACACTGAACGTGTCAAAAGCGTTTCAGACGTTTCGGGAAAGCGGACGCTGCTTGCTGCACATGTGTTTTTGACCCAATAGAAAAACGTATGTTGTTCCTGACGTTTAATCTTCAATTTTTCATTGCCAAGTAGGAAACGTCTTTCCAGCGCCGGAGAGGATTGTTGCGGTGCCCCCATGATTCACCTGTATCACACGCAGGGGGTGCTTGTACGCGGAATCCGCCCTGTTCGCACCCATGCCTAAGTGACGACGAGCAATCGTAGAAGTTCGTGGGTACATGGTTACGTCAACTATGATGCCTACGCACGGGGGGGCAAAAGGAAGATCGTTGCCTTGTGACTGTCTTCGATGTGACATCCATCATCTGTGGCGCCTCCTGTTGTTGGCTCCTGGTTTGGATTCTGCCCACTATTCATGGCCTTGGCATTGAAGAGGTGCCCTCCAGTACATGGTGACCTAACCGTGCAAAATCCAGCTAGCGCAAGCGCATGGTGAGCAACGCCGTTTGATGATGGAACGAAACACACCAACCCTGCAAGGATCGCGTGCGCACCATCACTACAATGGCACCCTCTCAACACTGCACTTCAAGCCCTAACATCTGGCCTATCTGCATTTCGGCACAGCTACATGACTAGCTGTTCACGACGCCACAGCGAGCGACCGTTTCACTCGAACAGTGTCTTGCGTTTGGCTGTCAAGACAGCAACAACGGTCATCATGTATTTGCTGCCCAGTTCTGCATTTATGTACCTGATATGCATGCATTTGTACAAAGCCGTATGCCACCCAGTCTTCAGAGCAGCTCGAGGTTACCGCGTCAACCGCAGAATGGAAAAAAACAAAAAACACACACACAGCACGTCCCGTAAGTAAATCGGCGGTGCGACCACTTCTTCACTCCACCCAACATCTACGCAATTCGCTGGGAGGCCACGACGGTACCGGCAGCTTTGAACTCAAACACACAGAAGTCATCATCGAGATAATGCACGGGAAACACCGAGAGGCCGTCGAAGAACATGGCTTTGCCAGCCGCCTGCACAAACCCATCCACCGGTGTCGCCGAGGATCCGGGCGGTTCTCCCGTCGGTCGGTCTTCGCCGCTTCTGTCCCACCAAAAACGCTCGAAAATAACCTGAACGACAATAATACCATTGAAAATGGCGATTTCGCAACAAGATAATGAGAGAATGTATGGGAACTCCCGGCCGGCTTTCTTCCTGGAAGGTGTCCATGACTTTCCGGGCAAGAAACATAAAGTACTTCAATAGTGATATCACCAGTAGCGACCACGATAGATGTTGTACGCTTCCGTGGGCCACTTCCCGTTGAAAACAAACAAACACGGTCCAAGTCCTATCTCCAGCCGGCTACATGTATGCGTACTTCTCCCTGTGGCGCTCGTCGGTGGTGTATACCTGTACGGTCTGTCGCGGAGCTTCATTGGTACCCCCCTCCGACGCCGGCAGCACAACGACCCTGCCATCGGCGTTGAACCAACCCGACCCAAACACCTTGCTCTCGTACCGGGAGTGCGACACCATCCTACCGTCGTCGGACACGAAGTTGTACAAGACGCTCGGAAACTCGGTCAAAATCACCTGTCGCGAGTTTTGAGTGTGACTGGGGGGTTACTGGGAAGCGCGGCTAAAGTACATGGTGATGTGCGTCAGGCTTTGGCTCTGTCAACTACCGAACGTCCGTAGGTCGCTCCGCCAGCCACCTACACGTGCGAGGGCCAGGGGGGGGGGGGGGGGGGATCCCCTAACCCCCCCCCATCTTATTTGTACCCCCCCCCATTCCCTCCCAACGGGTTTACCAAAATGGCTACCCCAAAGCGGAAATTTTTCCCGCCTTTGGAAAGGGAACGGGTCCCCAAGGACCCCTTTTTTCCCTAAAAAAAACGGGGGAATTGGCTCCCCCCCCTTCCCGAGGGTCTTAAATTGAGGAGGGGAACAAAATTCCCCCGTTCCCCTCCAACCCCTTGGGTTGTCCCCGGGGGGGGTTGAAAACTGAATCGGGGTTGACCCCAGCCCGGGGAGATCAGCCTTTCATGCCGGGGAGGGCCCTTTCCCCCCCGGTCGGTTGGGCCCCAAAATTTGGAGGAAAATTTTTTTGGGGGTTGGTGTACTGGTG